TGGACCAGCACCAGGAGCTCCTCCATTCCTGAGGCCACCTGGAATGCCAGGACTCTGAGGACATTTACCCCAACTTTTACCTCCAGGACCACTTTCAAGTTGGCCCCCAGAACCCCCTCCAGGCCCTGCTCCAGTTCTGCTCCTGATCCTCCTCCTCAGAGGACTTCCTCCAAGGCTACCTCCCCCTGCACCTCCAGGTACCCCTCCACCTCATCCTAGCATGATGCGCCCATCTTTGGGGCCTCCACTTGGACCTGCTCCACCTGAGTTTTTCTCATCAGCTCCCCTATCAAACCCTGGGGTTTTAAGTGCCCCACCCAGCTAGATTCTACAACTCAAGGTGGATGATACAAGCGCAGCCACCACTGAGAAGAACGCCACAGCATCTATCAGTGCCAAGTCACAGATCACTTATCCCAAGGCAGAAATTACTTGATTTGTACCCACTGCACTGAGAGTTAATCCGGAGAATTAAGGGACTACTGCTACTCCCCAAAAGAAGTCAGAGGATGATTCTGCTGTGCCTCTTGCCAAAGCAGCCCCAAATCCAGTCCCTGTGTTCTTGTTTCAGTACTAACTAAGGACGATGTGTCCGAAGTGTTCATGAAAGAGATGGAAGGGCTACTGCGACAGCTTTTGACCCAGAACAGGCTTCTGCTCACATCAGTCGTTCATGGAAAAAGAGGCTTTCGTTAAACTAGGTGAACAAGCTACTCCCCTTGTCAGCGCATTTGCTAATTCCAGTGCAGGAATAGCCTAAAGTTTAGTCTTGGTAAGAATTTATTGCATATAAGGTAGGATATTTCATTAAAAATAGACAGGTTATTAAAAGTAGTACTGCTAACATCCATTCCTTTTCACACCATTTTGATCCTGTTTCTTCCTGTTTTCCAAATTTTTTGAAACATGAATGGGGGAGTCTTAGTTACTTATTTGTTTCAACTTTCTTTTTGTGTGCTATGGGCACAGGAGTAGAAATTTCTGAGAAACTCATTTATCTCATCCCATCTTGGTTTTTGTGTTTGAATTAATTTCAACATTTTCTTATAAGTATTTTGTAATATTTGACTTGTAGTGAAAGGAATCACAATGTCAATTCCTATTACAAGCACACTTGTGGGAAGAAAATGCACAATTCTATGATTAAAATTATTTCCCACTGACCTCCCCCCCCCAAAAAAAAGAAAGAAAGAAAAAGGCCATCATGGTTTAAATATATAGCCTTGCTGACTATATATATATGTTGTTGTTATCAGGTGCCATCGAGTCGGAACCGACTCATAGCGACCCCATGCACAGCAGAATGAAACAATGTCCGATCCTGGGCCAACCTCACTACCGCTGCCACACTT